ACTGATTAACATTCAAATTAAAATCAGGCCGCTTAGTCTCGTTGATTATGTATATTTTAATTATTCGATCTCAAACTATACAAACACAAACACACACACACACACACACACACACACACACACACACACACACACACATGCATTTATATTTGTTGTTGTATTAATTAATTAATTAAATTACTTAATTAATATGTATTATATATGTATTATATATATTTTATATTTAATTATAACATATTATGCAAAAAGTAAAGTATAATATATAAATATATTATAATGTGTGATATATAATTATAATTATATGTGTATATAATTATAATTATATGTGTATATAATTATATGTGTATAAAATAATGTACATTGAAAATGGTTCCCCGGTTAGTTGAGCATTGATCCCATTGGAATGTTTATCCGTCTCTTTCAATGAGTTAATGGGCCGGCAAGATCCTTTAAAGAATAATAATAATAAAAAAAAAAAAAATACAGCAACATTACAATCGCAACGTACGCTCATTCATACACAGTTCATTGTATAATAACGATTTCAAATTCTAACAAAAATGAAATGCTAATTTTTTTTTCATACTGCTGTTGAATGTATCGTCTCTACAAAAATCTTTAATTTTATCACCAGTTAGATGTATAACAATTGCTTGTGTGAATATTGCAGATTTTGATTAAATGTGTGTTTAATGCTATGGATGTATGTTGTAGGGTGCGGTGTGGTACGGTGTGGTGTGGGGTCTTCTGAAATGGTATGGGTGTGGCATCGTACCGTATTGTATCGTATCACATTGTATGGTAGATTGAAATGTATATTAGATATTTAGATGCGTTGTATTGTAAAATTCTGGCGGATTTTGTTGGTCAATTCAGGTGAATAACAAATGTATCTATTAATACATTGGGTTTGATTGAAAGTTTTTACTTTCTGGGGTGAAACAAAATTTCTTGGTTTGTCATGTTTTGTCTTGCTCGTCATGTCTGGTCCTGAATATTTGAGTCACTGTTTTTACTTTTCTGTGAAGTCATTTCAATTATTATTTTTCATTAATTTATTTCTAAAATTATTTTTATTAAATTAATTTATATCTGTTATCAAATCACTCAACCAACAGCACTTTAAGTTCTTGCATAATGTCCATCTGCACCCTGCTCTATCCTTTCTCTTGGCCCCACACCCTTATCACCGTCCTACCCCCCTCCCTAGCTGACGTCATCGACTCACCAGCCCCGTACATCCTCGGTGTGCTCAGTTGCTTTAAACATCTTCTGGAAGAATATCAGTTGAGTGAGGTGAGTTGTAGCTTCTGTTCTGTTGTTATAGTTATTATTGTTATTGTTGTTGCTGTTGTTGTTGCTGTTGTTGGTGTTGTTGTTGCTGTTGTTGGTGTTGTTATTACAGAACATTTATGGAGCGCTAATTAAATGAAAGTTCGAAGGCGTTCTTGCAAAAAAGTCACAAAAAGTCATTTTGGGGATATGATTCTTTATTGGAATGTTCTTGTCGGGCGCGTTGTTGAATAGTTGCTGCTGCGCGCTTTCTCAATCATCTTTGGCGGATTTCATCGTGGAATATGCTAACAAACAAACAAATTCAAATTTTATTTATTTATTTAATCAAAGCAATAAACAAATTATGGTAATGATTCGGAGACCCAGTGTAAAAGAAAATAAATTCCTGTATGGAAGGCCACCGTATACAAATTGTTCACTCCAATACAATTTTTTAAACAAAATTATACATACATACATACATACATACATACATACATACATACATACATACATACATACATACATACATACATACATACATACATACATACATACATACAAACAAACAAATATACATACAAACATACAAAATAACAGTTGCACATTTTTGCTTTTCAACGATGGTTTTCGTTTTGGTGTACATCACACATTCTGTGTAGTTATCCGTTTGATCGTACCCCATTTTTTGTATTGAATTGAGAGTTCAATTTTTTAATGTTAATCAATCGTGAAAACATCAGCACCACAACACTTCTCCGTAAACACAAACGCGCAACATACGCCACACAAACACATACATAAATATGCCACCTACATACGACACACACAAACACACACACACAAACTCACACAGGTCTTAATAGTAAACTTAGACGAGGGGTACTTCATGAAGTGGATGGGTGACGAGGGCCACATTCTTCCAAAGAAAATACAACGTGCTCTTATGCTGGCACTCTCTGATGTTCATCTGGCCCATGGTAAGTTGGCTGGCACGTTACGTTTCATAAATGAGCACTTAGTTTACTTTACTCTCGATATAATGATTTCAATGAATGCAGACAACACCGGCAAGACGGCCTGCATAACTGATGTGACCATGACGGAGGCCTTCGTCCGAATGTTCGTGGAAATGTGCGGCCACTACTGCGACTTCATCAGATACGACGCGAACAAGAGCAGTTTATTTCAGGTTTGTATTTTATGTTTTTATTTTATATTATATCTGGGGTTGGTCTTTTGTCTGTTTTATTTCATAGTTTTCAACCAGTTTAAGGTCTTACAACTAGATTATCATTCCAGCTTTTGATGGACAAGTGAACACAAATGCTAATATATTTGAAATTTGGGTAAAATTATTGGTTGGCAAAAATTGAAAAACAGCAATTATTTAAACATTTGAAAAAAAATTGTTTTAACTTGTCTAATGGAACTTCAACCCAGAGGGAAGAGTTTGTGAGAGCGGTGTCGTCCAACTCTATTCGTTTGTTTCTCGACTGGTTCAGCCGGACTCCGATGTTCCAAGTTTTCATCACCGACAGACTGAAGGAGAACACCAATCAAGGTCGGTGCACAATGGTCTCGTGTTTATTATTACTCTCAAAAACGTCAACCAAATAATTATCTTTTTTTTTCTTTAACTAATTAAAAGTTTTCTAAATGGTTTTTCTATAAACAATCCATTTACTTTGCCTTTCAAGTTTTTCTCAATTGATTGTAGCATCTGCAAGTTCGTTACCTGAAAATTTTTATGGGCGTGCATGCAAATTGAGTCGTACGTTGAAAGCATTTGATATTTATTACTTTGGCTCTGACTCCTGGTTTGCGGCGTACATACATTCACAACTTCATAAAAACTTCAGCAGCAGGATTGTATGAGTGAACCTTTTCAGAAAATCTTATACAAATTTGTAAACGAAGATCTATTTTTGAGAATAAAAAGTTTTTCGGTATTATAAAAGTTTAATTATTTTCAGCCAAGGGAATTGAAATTCTGAAAGAACTAAATTAATAAAACTACATTAAGTTGCGAAGTGAATGTGTATCTATGCTAAATTAAAATCATAAGGGTTGGTTTTTAACCTGAAACACACAAATTGTATGTACTGTTAATCAAACTGTTGACGGTGCGTGATGATGAAATTAAAAAGTTGTGATTCAAAAACATAATCTTCCGAAAGCAGCGTGATGGATATCCTAATGGTTATGGTCGCCTGGTGTTCTTTCGCACTGATCTGGTTCGATTCGAACACGACAAAAAGACCTCACCTGTCACATGCTTCGTTTGTGATGTGTCGTTTAGCATGTATTCACATACGATGTTTGTGTGTTGCTGCCTCCTCTGCACCTAAAAAGATTGTAATAGATTTTCAATCTCTAACCTAACATCCATGCAGTAGAAGTTTTAAGAGCCATTTTAACAGCCATCTTATTACGATCATGTGTCTTCACAAGTCTCAGTTAAAAATTTAAAATCTGCGTTTCTCGTAAAAACCATTACAAAGCTGGTAGCATTAGTTAAGGTGATTAACAAATGATTGTAACAATCCTTTTGTTGGTAGTTTTTTGTTACTCAGTCACCTTTCAACCATTTTTGCTGAAACGGTTGGCAGATGCTTAAGTAAAACAATTTTAAAATGTTATTTTAGATTTGTTCGACCAGAGGATAAAGGAGTACAGACGGGAGATGGAGTATCTTTCGAACAACAAGGCAGCCAACATGAAGGTCATCAGAGACAAACTTCTCAACTTCTTTAAGAATTATGGCTAGTAAAATTCAATATTTTCATTCTGTACGTTTTTGTTTGTGATGTGTGAAGTAGGGATAGTGACTGAGTTAATGACTGTTCTGCGTTAGTTCGCTGTCGATGCTTTCTAAATGGGTTAAATTTTTTAAGTTTTATGATTATTCCGCTTCATTAGTCATTTTCGTTTGTCGTTATAAAAGTTATTTTTGGTTGTTCTGATTTTTGTTGTTAAATTTGTATTAAACATTTTATAATAATATAGTTTTGAAACATTGAGTTAAACTTTTAAAATTAATAAGTCTGACCAAAGTTATTATGAATGTATTTTGGAATTTTTTCTATGAATAAATTGATTCAAAATGATGCTTTAACTTTTGGATATGGATCGATGTCTGTATGGGATGAAAAAGGCCTTTATGACATGACAATAGAAATGAATGTGATGAAAACATTGATGTGAAGGATAGTATTTAATTCACTTCACAGGTACAAAACTGAAGAAAACAATGAAGAAAAACTCCTATGTTTGATGATGAAGTAAGATGGTGACGATGGGGAAATGTGATTATAGCCAAATTAAAATGGATCACATACGTTATATCAAGACTTCATGCTGCTCATCATGAAATTTGGTGCTTCAAAAGATCTGATTTCAAATAGTGATCAATTTTAAAATTTTATTTATTGAAATTTTATTTATTGATATTTTCAATTTGCAATGGTTATGTTTGTGTTGTAGGCTTACGTTTGCTTTTAATAATGACTCGTTGTTTGTTGGATTTATTTCTTTATTCAATTATTTTATGTACGCATTTATGTGCGTGTGTGGACTCTAACATAAACTGCTTCTCTGTTCATTTTACTTTCAAATGCGGATCTAAAACATTGTCGCCACATAATCTGTATAAATTCAGCTTATATGTGAAACTATTTTTTCTTCTTTTTTTTACTAACCTCAACCATAACTTTCATAAAACTCTAGTAAAGTTAAAGCTAAAGTTAAAGTTTATCATAAGTTTTATAGCTGCCTGATTTAACAATCGTTTGAGTAATTCACTAAAACACCGGCAATTATATATTAAGGAAAGGATTGTTGAATTTTTATTAGCTAGCACCATCCAATAATATTATCCGGTAGTTATTTAGCACCGAAATGAAAGCAACATTTCAGAAATATAAAATTATGAATCAGAAGTTAAAACAAATTAAGAGTCAAACATTAAAATATTGACAAATTTGCGATTTCTTCGCTATTACTCCAGATATCGCCAACATTTCTCGTCACTGATACAGTAAAATATATTGATTGATTGATTGAAAATGTTCTTGAATTGAAACGTTTTGCATTGTTATAATAAGTTTTGATTATACGCACGGTATTTTATCTTGTCCACAAGCATTTTTGGTACTACCTAGATCTATGTGTATCTACCAACAATCTCATCGAGGCATATAACTGAATTCCTTATTTCAATAATTAAGCCCTGCATGTTTTTGATGTACTTCATTTAAAGTTTAATTTAAATATTTTGACGTATGTGTCTAATTATTATTATTTATTCGTTTATTTTTATTTTTATTTATGAATAATTTTATCTTTTTGTTTCTATATATAAGTTTTGCACCTTGTGGCAATCTTTGCGTATGCGAGTTTGATTTTTGAAAAAAAAATGATCACTAACAAATAGGGACTTAATTTCAGTATTAATTTTTTTAAATTTGTCTCTGTCTTACCAAAATTAATTAAAATGTTATTTTTGTGGAAAATTATTGCTGCCAAGCGTTTCTAAAAAAAAACAAAGTATTTACTATTTAATGTGTGTAGCGTTGAAATCTTCGATTGAGATTTAGTATTATTATTATTATAAGTTTACCAAAATGTATATTTACATAAATCATTACACCATTCCATTTTCGTTTCGTATTAAAATCTTCAATACAAAACATTCAATCTGTTATGTACCTACATTTTAACCTTCATCAACAAGCAGCACGTGCCTTAGACCAACTTCTGAATATCGCCCAAATGTAAATAAATGAATGATTCATATTTATATATATGTGGGAATTATACCATGGATATATCCATGAACTATACATGAATGTATAATCAGACAGATCGCGAAGTATTCAAATAAATTTAATTGTAAATATTATTTTTTATGTTGATGAAATCCAATTGTTGATGAAAAATATTTCCTCTCGTGTAAACAATTTTCAAAATTATTTTTCTATTTTTCAGTTATTTTCCGATGAGTATTTATTTCTGTGGTCCTTCGACACATAAGCACTTAATTTTTGTAAATAAAAAAAAGTAAACCACTTAAATAAATTCTTTAAAATAAGTCTTTAAAGTAATTTAGAATTCACATATATTTTTGAAACAAAAACAGTCTTCCACAAAAACTTAAATTATTGACAGCATAAAATAAACTTATAAAAAATAATTGCTGTATTTACAGATAACATTTTAAATGATACCTCTGGTAACTGTAAAAAAAACATATTAATCATAAGAAACGTTGACAAACTAAGACGATCCACATGTTAACTAAATATTATGTAAATCCTCAAACAAATAATACATTATTATTATTATTATTACTATCAATTTTTGCTTATCAATTTTCAAAGCTATCGGCAACATTCCAACAGCCAGCCTGCACTTGGACCCACACATCGCCAACAAAAACATACGACACGTATTAGACTTGATTCAAAACCGAGTGTGCAAACTAACGGAAGAGTAAGGAGTAATCATTCTTATCATCTTCTTCTTCTTCATTATCATAACTTTTCATCATTACTTTACTTTTTACAAAATTATTAAATTCTATTTCATCGCTGATTCTCGTAACCTGGAATGATTAGGGGTCTGCGTTCCGGCCGAGTTTGATTGCAAACTCAAAATTCCGTCAGAATTATCCAGACATTTTGGAATTATAGTAAAAAACTATGATCAAACGCGATTAAATTCGGAATCCGAGGGAAATTTTCAAGGTATTTATGTATTCTTCGTAGTGTTATAATAAATCACTAGCTTGAAAATCTCTATCAAATAATAAATAAATCAGTGACTAGGACCTTGTGTATTGTACTAAATCAAGAATGATGTTTGGGAATGGGGAAAAATGGGAAAAACGACATATACATGCACAAATTTGAAAAAAAATAAATTCAAAGAAAATGTCAGTTATATATGCAACTGAACACGTGTCCGTGTGCGTTAGCAGAGAAAATATCCACTTGCAAGCAATTGAGCTATGAAGAAATTTCACATTATTTAAATATATACATATAAATATGTCTTTGAAATTGAAATTGTTGTTACAAATCTTTTCACATTGATACATTTATCCATCCTTAAAATTATATAAGCATGTATATTGTATATATACAAGGTTGGCAAAGAAGATAACCACGTGCAAAAAACAGAGTTATAAAGATATTTCGTACAAACCATGTATATTGTATATCATGACGTCAAAACACACACACACACACACACACACACACACACACACATACACACACATACTTATGGTAATTAGAAATTCACATAGTATAAAAAGAAATAAAATGTATAAAAATGTTTTTAATTGTTATGATTGTAATTTACTCTTTTGTAAAAGTTTGGTTTTCTGTTTGATTTTATTGTTTTTTAAATTTTTATGGCTAAATGTTTATAAATTTCTTGTAAATTACCTAAAAAAATTTAGTTACACGCATGAGCTAGAACAATTAAAAGAGGAGCTGACAAAGCAGTATCTGTTTGCGGTGATGATGATAGTTTTAGTTATGATACTGATACTATCAGTTGCGATAATGATAATTTTAGTTATCGTAATAAAGAAATATGTGAAAAAATTATGATAGTGAGAGTTGATAATGACAAGGGAATAGAAACAAAGCAGTAATTGCGAATGAATTTGCATGAGCTTATAATTAAACGTCATGAAGTTAGTTAACTGCAAGGATATAAATATTAACTGTTAATTTAATGTTGTTGTTTTATTAACTTTTAGAGCTTTTCGATTTTCATTTTGTTTGGTACATGTTCTTAATATTTACTTTTTGTAAAAATTTTTTTAGGTGTTCGAAAAAATGCAAAATGGAAAAAAAGAAATAGAAGGAAAACGCGTAAATGAGTTAAGCAAAAGGGAAATGGGAGTTTTCGGAAACGTTGTCATGAATGGGAATTCGGGAGGGAATCGGGAATGACAAACAAAAATGGGAGGGAATTGGGAACAAATAAACAATTCAATAATTATGTCACGGTTTTTATACCATTTTTAACCCTTCCATCCCCTCTCTGTCACGCTCAGCTGACCCCCCAAGTTCACGACCTGTAATCTATTGTTAATAGATTATAAAGATAACATCACGACATAAGTACAATGTTTTAAATCAGAATAAAAATGTCTCGTAACGATCAGGTTCATGTTCATGGCTAATTTTACAGTTCGGTCCACACTGTTGCAAGATGTTGCTCCGTTGTAACCAATGAAATGTGTGTATCATTGCCAGCATTGTCTATATTCAATCCTGTACAGAAAGAAATTAGGCGTTTTATTTTCTGTTGCTTAATATTAAAATTGAAAGGTTAACGTCAGAAACATTTTGTTTAATTGTTTATATTGCGTGCACAGATTATCTAAAAAATCTATAACTAAAATGGCAGCAGCATTGTTCTGCCTAAATATCGAACATAACCCGACGTGGAACGTATCGGCGCTTAAGGTGAGCGGGAATTGAAATTTGTTCCCAATTCCCTCCCATTTTTGTTTGTCATTCCCGATTCACTCCCGAATTCACAATTTTGGTAACGTTCCCGAAAAATCACATTTTTCAACTCATTCCGGCGTTGTCCCTCTCGTTCCCCTTTTTTCTCAATTTGCAAATTTTTGAACACCAAAAACAAAATTTTTTTAAAATGCAAACCTTAAGAACGTGGATTTTTTAATAATAATAATGTCATTTATGAGCGCCCTATGCATAGCGTTCATAAATGACATTATTAGTACCAATCAAAATAAAAATCCAAAACTTTTAAAAATAATTAAAGCAACAATAATAAATTACAATTATAACAATTGAAACTATTTTAAACAAATATACATGTTTATGAATATTCATACTATGTGAATTTTTAATGACCACAATGTGTGTGTGTGTGTGTATGTGTGTGTGGAGTGCCGCCGAGCACATGTTTGCGCGTAGGTGTTTGTACATGAAATTTCTTCATAGATCTATTGCTTGCACGTGGTTATCTTCATTGTCAACGCACACATGTGTACGTATGTGAATGTGTATGTCTCGATCACATGTGTACTAGTAAAAACTAGTACTAGTATATATATATATATTTATGTTGGTAATAGACCATAACTTTTACAATATTCTATAAATTCTACCGAATGTTTGGCGTTAATATGTTTGTAGTTCGTTTTTTCGATTTTTCTCAATAAAATTTTTGGTGAACGTTTAGTTTATTAAAATTCAAAATAAACTTATTTTTTGAATTCATGCTGCACTTTGACTTTGTAAACATTAACTTTGGGTGATGTAAAAATGTAAATTAGGTGTCAGGTTTTTTTATTGGCTGGTCGTGTTCTTTGGTCTCCTTTTCTTCATCGATAGCATGGTCGTGTTCTTTGGTCTCCTTTTCTTCATCGATAGCATGGTCGTGTTCTTTGGTCTCCTTTTCTTCATCGATACCATCATATTCTTCTTTGTCATTATTTACAATGCTAATAGTGATTGAGTGTGTTGAGTCCAAATGAGATTTGATTAGCCGTGAAATCCTCGACAGCAACACCAAAGTAATATACCAGAACAGCAACTACACGCACCTTAAAATTGCAGAAGCAGTCCTAATTGACATCGATAAACCAAAAATAAATATACAACAAAAAATGACAACCTCACTCCCAACCCGACGCTTAACCAACAATGAAAACAAAGAAGTAATAAAAACTAGCATTGTAAATGGTTCATTCGGAATCGAAATATGGCCTTATTTGCAGCATGAATTCAAAAAATAAGTTTATTTTTAATTTTAATTTTAATAAACTAAACGTTCACCAAAAACCTTTAGTGAGAAAAATCGAAAAAACGAACTACAAACATATTAACGCCAAACATTCGGTAGAATTTATAGAATATTGTATAAAAATTTATGTATATATATATAAATACATATAAAATAATTATATATATATATATTTATATATACATACAATTTTTTTTATTTTTCCATTGTTTACACGTGGTTATCTTCTTTGTTAAAACACACGTTTAGATTAATTAGATAACTGACATTTTTATCAAAAAAAATAATTTTTCAAATTTGGGCATGTGCATGCTGTTCTTCCCATTTTCCCATTCCAGTCCATCATTACCGATTCCCGAACAGTGATTACCTACTCCCTAAAGTTCCCATTCCCATGCTCACCTCTAATCGGCATTTCGGCAGCAGCATAAAGACAATATGCTTACGTACGCATTAGGTTAACAAATATACATGTTTATGAATATTCATACTATGTGAATTTTTAATGACCTGTCACACACTGTCACACTGGACAAACCCCCTCTCTTTCTCATCCCAACATGACGTAATTATCGAATGGCCACACACACACAAACACAAATATACACACACACACGATAATTATGTACTGTATATTAATGTTTCGACCCCGAAAAACGGGTTTTTTTTACTTCAAAATTAAAAACACCGTTTATAAACAGATTATTGTTACAAATCTTTCACATAGACACATTCATCCATTCATTAATTCAGTCATTCATTTACTTACAAACAGTGCATTAATGCCACGTGCCCTGTTAAATATTTTAAAAATCGATTCGGGAAACTTGGATGAACATGGAATTGTGATTATGAATTTATAAAATTCATTCGAATTTAGGAAATTCATTCGAATTTATAAAATTCACGCATTCATTCATAAATGCATCTATATGTACATACATACATAAATACAAATAGACATGCGCACACAACACAACTAGATTTGTACTTACATACATGAGCTGAGCACCCAAGTGTTAATGTGTGTATGCATGTTTGTGTGTGTGTGTGTTTGTAAATATGTATGTGAGTATGCATGTATGTTTGTGTATGTATGCATGTATGAATGTATGTATGTTCAGTAGCTTTACAGTATGTATGTGCGTGTCTGTGGGTATTTTATTACGAAAAAACTCATACAACAAAACTTGAACTTGAAAAATTAAAAACGCTTCTTTTACAAGAAACAACGAGGAAATCACACAGACAGACAAACACACACGTACATGTAGTAATACCTTTTAGCTAAGCCTGTGCACGTGCACCACAGCTGCTTGGTTCACGTTGCTTTGTGTAGGCCAGCTACGCCAGGCATGAGCTAGAATAAAGAAACGAGGAGCTGACGCAGCAGCATCTGTTTGTAGTAATAATGATATATATGTATATTTATATAAATATAAGTATGCATGTACATATAGTTTCATATATATTTATTTGTGTGCGTGTGTGCGTGCACGTGCGAGTATAAAAGCAGAGCCGTATTTTCGTAGTTATATTGAAAAAAATTTGATGACGTTTCGGCACTGTGGGTATCTTCTTGTTTCATCGTAAGTGATTTTACTGTTTTTAGTGTTAATAAATAGTAATAAGGCTTATTAATATTTTGTAATATTCAGCATTAAATTGTAAAATAGTATTATAATTTACTTTTAATATTTTAATATATATAGATATATATATATATATATGTTACACTTATATACCTATATACCTACAATGAAATTATTCAGTTTTTCGAACACCCTTTTGGCTTGCTTTTTGTAGCTCATATATATTTTGAAAAGTAATTTAATCCTACGTAAGTGTTAAATATATATTTAGGCAGCAATTATGAGTGGTGGAAAACCAATTTTTTGTGTTATTTAAATTTTTTTAATATTTCAAATATTTTATTTGAAAAATAAATCAATTCTACTTAAGTGATCAAAATAAATTTTTAGGCCGCAATTAAAACTTAGTCGATTTTTTATGTTTGTCCTTTTGTGTATTTTTATTTATTGTTCAATAATTTGTGCAATCGTTCATACATACGTTATTGAAATATGCATGCTTTACATAAATATTAAGGTCAGTGCTAAAACTTTTGTTTAGAATCGTTTTAAGATAATAAAAATAACGACATTACTCATCTATTTTTTAACCTCTTTCTTATTGAGAAGAAATTTGGTCAGTAAGTAGTGAAAAAGTGTACTATTTCTAATTAAATTTTATATATAACACTTTTATGTCAATTAGGTGTGTGTACCATACAGTATACCACTTTGCAAAATGTGTAATAGCTTTCTCATTATATATTTTCGTTTTTATTTATTAGAGTTTGAGATTTTACATACCTATACCCATTTTATCAAACAGAAATTTTTATCTTATCGCTCAGAACAAATTTTCTGTTTAAAAAAATAAATTTTAACTTTTGTTTAGAATCGTTTTAAGATAATGAAATAATCTTTTTTAATCTTAAGTAGTAAGTAGGGAAAAAGTGTACTATTTCTGATTTAATTTTATAAAAAAATTAAACTTAACCTGTTATTACCTAATCGCTAATTGTTATACAATAAATTCCAAACACGCATTAAGTTTTGTGATTGTAAAACGTTGGTTTAAAACATTCCCATCTATTCAGATTGTCATATCTACATCATCAGTCGAGACGTATGATTGTCATATCTACATCATCTTGACAAAAAAAGACAACAATGACGTTAACAACAAATTTTATTTTTTAATTGGTGATTAGGGAAATAGCGCGAACGCAGTCTCCCACTATCAGAAATTGGACACCGATTTACCCACTTTTGGGGTAATCGCAGAGTCAATCCAACCTCAGTGTAATGGTTGAATCTCGTCCGCGGAGAACCGCCTTGATCACGGTATCTCCAGTGCCATTTGTACAGTATAACTTTCCGTTGTTGTATTTGTCGTTATAAGCCGAAGAATGTTTGCTGATAATGGTGTGTATTTTATATTAACATCTACAAACTTTTTAAAACAATGCCCTCTTTGTTAAAATAATTTTTTCATTCAGATATCATTTTATGTTGCAAAAACTTGATAAATGTTGCAAAAACTTGATAAATGTTGCAAATACTTTGCAAGCTAAAAACGGTCCTATGCGAACAAATAGTAAGTTATTTCAGATACACTAGTGCTACCGAATAAATTTATGAAAAAATTTAATTATTTTAATATAGCACTCCCCCAAATCTGCAACAAAAATTTAAGATTTGATAAACTTATCTATTCTCTTGCTTTTTTATTCGTTCTGGGATTGAGGGGTTCCGTGGTTTAACGGTTAGCACTTTGGACTCTGAATCCAGCGATCCGAGTTCAAATCTCGGCGGAACCTAATTATTTTTTACATTTTTTTATTTCATTTTAATTTTAAACGACCGCCTTTGTTATGCATTTGATTTTTAGTAATACAATTTAATCTTGTTATGAAAAATTTTCTTCTACTCAGCCATTTCAAAGGAAGATATTTATGATCTCCATGACCGGACTAACTGATGTTAATGTTATATGACTGTCAGGGGTCTATAGTTTGGGAGATGTCGATTCTGCTCCTAATCCTGTCACATGTTTCTACTTATTTTGTTATCACATTCTATTGATACTTAAATGATTTAGCAAGTGTGATTTTGGTGTCTCATTTGATCTTGCCAATCTGAAAGACTTATTCGAAAAACTGAATTTTTTAGTTAGACACCATTCAGATCTGACTGAAGAAAATGGAGGAACAAATTAAAGAAGGTTGTAAAAGTTTTTAGAGTATTCATTTAAAATTAAAATTTAAAAAAATTATTTATTACCATTAATATTATTTTATAAAAAGGAACAAGGCTTGGTTATTTTTATATAATTTGATCATCGCACTCAATTTTAATTGATGAATTTGCTGATGATTGAAAAGTTTATTCACGTAATATATTATTTTATTCGTCTTATTTATTTATTTTTTTTTATTTTGATGTTCAACAAAAGATATACATTGTTATTATTGTACAATTATCGGAGGTGAATCAATTTAAAAATGATCTCAATATTAAAGTTGCCTCGGAGAACCATTCAAAATATGATTGCTTTGTCATGGTGCTGATGAGCCATGGTGGGCAAGATTTTATCTATGGAGTTGACGACAAGATCTATCTCGAAGACCCTCTATTGCCCTTAAGCGAAAATAAATGCAAAACTTTGATTGGCAAGTCAAAACTTTTCTTCATCCAGGTTTGGTTTGTTTTAAACTTTACTAATTGACATTCAACATGTCACATTCATTTTTTTAGGTTCCTGAATTTGTTGTTTGATATTCGTTCTTATAAGACTTACTAAATTTATCTCTTTAAAACACATTTGCTTCATAAATTTTGTACCCCTGCATAAATTATATAACGGAACTCTTTTTTATTTTACGGTATTTTACGTTGTAATAGAGAAATTGTTACAACGTACTTGTTCTTGTTGCGAAGTTGAATTAATAATAAAAGTTAAAGAACGAACCCTTACAGGTGGCCTTTAATAAAAAGAAACAAATCCCTACCTTCATCTCCATGCTCACCAAACGTCTTTATTTCTGTTAGAGCTGAAGAAGGACGTGTGATAACTGGCAATAACTTCATATGCTATTCAGATTAAATTTTTCATCTCTTTCTTAAAATATGGGGAATGACATGGAGCTAGCCCGGATGATCTGAAGAAGTTGCTCAAACGCTGGCTACAAATTTTGCATACAAATTGAAAGCAATGGTGATGCAGAGGATGTAAGTATGTTGATGATACCGCATTTGTGTGATGACACTGACAACGATCAACTGATGATGATGGCGATGATGATGAAAATAAAGAAGATGATGGTGATGATGAGGACAATGATGATGATAATGATGACGATGGTGATGATGAATGATTTAATGATGATGATAATGAGGACAATGATAATGATGACAGGAAAAGTAATGATAATGATGATTAGGATGAGGTGTGGTGAAGTGGGGTTAGTCTGTTCTATAGTGAATGGTTTTTAATGGAAGGAAAGTTATTGCAGCGTTGACATGTAGTTTGGAGTAATGGAATTCTGAATGTTTTTAATTTTAGTGTTAGCGATGCTGCTCGTACTGATAATGCAATCTTAGCTGATTGGCTTTGCTTAAAAATATTATTTATTATTTTAAGTGTAATTTCAACAGTTTGCAATACGTTCACATATTAGTCTCTAATGACAAATTAAAAATTATTCATTTTTCCATTACATGCAGGTTGAGATCAGTGTCTGTCTCCTGGCTGGGCTCGTCCTCGTTGTCGTTGTTCTCTACGCCAGAGTGTATGCCGAGGTGGCTACTTATAAATTTTAGTTATAATGTTGATGATGCTGTTGATGAATAGGACGATGTTTCACTCACCCGCTCATTCCTTCATCCCACCTACCCACTCACTTGTTCAACTGACAGGTAGTCCTATGTGGGAAGCGTAGCTTTGTGCTCTCAAAATTTTCGACCAAAAGTTCTGACTCAGGCAAAATAATGACATCATCGTCGTCATTTCAAAAACAACAACAACAACAACTTCGAATGAACGTGGACAATCCTGACAAGCCATCCAATGAAGTAGTTTGTAGCAACGACAGCAAAAGAGTTTTCAACATAAAAGAATTCATAGGACTTCCAAAACGACAAAAAAATTTCTCGACTGGACAGCAGGTTCAGTTTCAACTGATGAAACATCTACCTCAGCGCCTCAGATAAATGCAAAACTTTGATTGGCAGATAATAATCACATTGCATTTGATTTTTAATTAACATGTATGTCGAAATTAAAAATTTGTTAACAATTAAAAAATTGGGTGATTTTCTTATGAATGCTAAATTTAAATACGATTGGAGAATGATTGCTCTTTATAGATTTTGGATGATGGTATAATGTTTGTTTTTACATGATTTTCTTTAAGAGAGAACGATATATATGATTAGTTGGAATTGGAATTTTTATGAAGAGATGTTTGCATACATTTATATAAAATATAGGTATTTGAAATAATAATAAAAATTATACACTTGCATTTTGGTTTATATTTTTATTTTTGTTTGATCTTTATGTATGAACAGAACATATTAACGGACATTGTTTATGTGTTCAAATTTTATAGTTAATTTTGTTTTTTGTTGCGGGCATAGGGACATTTTGTCTTTGCCCATGTTATTTTTTCATAATAATAATATTAATAAATTCCGAAAACAAATCTGAAACAAGAAATAGATCGGATAATCTTACAGAACGTTGAAAGAATTGGCATCGTTGAAGAAACCAAATGCGACGACGTTTCAATAAAAAACATGACAAGACCACATCTTTAGATCAAAGTGAACATGTATGGTCGAAAATAAAAATTCCGAAAACAAGTCTGTAACAAGTGAAAGAAATGTGACAGCTTTTTATTAATTTTTGGTTCTGACATTGGAAGAAAGTATGATTTATTTTAAAATTCTTTCAAAATGTTTGATGATCTGCAGAACAAGTGAAATTTTCACTAGAAATTTGAAAAAATTGGCACCATTTAAGACATTTAAAACGCGACCGGAATGAGTCGTGTCTGATGCAAATACAAGCCCAGTGAAGAAGGAAATCATTTTGACATTTCGACGAGGTAATCAAACATTCGAGAAGCCGATCTGCTCTAGCTAGTTAGAAAAATAATTGAACGCCATCGTTATCAGCTGCTAAAAAATCAAAATTGAAGATATGGAACAAAAAGAGGATAGACAAATTCTTCCAAGAACCCTATGCATCCCAGATCAGGTTGTCTCTCACTTTGTGTTGGGTAATGAAAGCTTCACAATAAGAAGTTACGAATGTATCGAGGATGGAGTTAGATGGAATTGGTCCATCTTTGGACGTGAAATTAAGAAGGCACAAGATAGCTGGAAGTGGCATTTAATTTTTTTTCTGATTTGAATATTACAATTTTATTTTTTTATTCGAGAAATTTTTAAACAAAATTATATCATAACTGAGTGCTTTGTTCTGTTTTTCGTATTGTTTTTAATCGTTTTTTCCTATTTTTTATTTACGACGTAATTGTAAAAAATAAAATATCTCTTTAATTTTCTTCATACACGCACATACATATTAACATACAAATATGTATACGCAACGGTAACTGCATACAAAACTAAGTAATCCGTGTGAGTGTACTTTTGATATATCGTCTTTCAAAATCATGAAATTTAGCACACCAACAACATCGTCTTTCAAAATCACAACGTCATTCGTCACATCTTGTAACCATCCGAGTTTGTCAGTTTGAATTTTTGGAAAAATAATAGACCACTAACAAATGGAGACTTAATTTTAGTATTGATTTCTTGTCTCCTTCCTACCAAAATTTGATTAAAATGTTTCACGAGCGAAATATTTGCTGTGTGTATGGTTAAAATCTTCGACCGAGATTTGATACTTTTAGCATTTAAAGTTCACCAAAATGTGTGTTCAAACAGATCCTTACCCATCATTCCAATTTCGTTTCGTATTAAAATCTTCAACACCTACATCGTAACCTTCATCAAGCAATAATTTAGAATTCACGTATATTTTTAAACATAAACAATTAATATTCCACAAAAAAGTAAACTTATAATGAAAAATATTGAAGAGAGTTAATGCACCAGCATTTAACAAACCATCCAACCAAGGTAATAAAAATCTGCAAATTATATGCTATGATGCGTAAAAGCGAATTCAAGAGAAGCCGCCGAGAGTGGATGACGTCAATTTTTGCAGCAACCTCATCTGGCCACACCTCACATACGATGAGTACAACTTTGTTCTTAAGTGGTGTTTCATGTTTGTAGGAACATTTGTACATTCTAGCTGCGTACAACCGCCATCTGGTGACGTTGAAGAATGTTCAGCCTGTTGTGTTGGTTGAAAGTTGTTCTTCTCCATCTCCTCCTCCAACTTCTTCATCAATTCTTCTTCCTCCTCCAAACTTCTTCCGTACTTCCCAAGTTGTCTTGTGGCCAGCCTGTAAAGGGTAGTATTGCATTCAGACATGAGTTCAAGTTTTGTAATAACTAATTTCAAATAATAAGCGGTCAGTCCGGTTTTTAATGAAACTGTGTGAATCGCGTGCATTTCAATTTAAGAAGAGGCCAACAAAGCACATTAAGAGAAAATTCAATTTATTAAATACTGGAAAGATATTTGTCAAACGAGTTACCAGCGTGGTCATAAAATGTGAATCACTCAAGCTAGCTAAACCAGGGAATGCAAAGCTGAGAAAACCACTCATCCAGAACGAATCATCAGGTTTTATAAAAATCATTTAAACGAAAAGATAAAATGAAATAAAGTGATGCAGAAAAATGACGGAACTTGTTGAGTAGCATCTTGTAGGAATCAGGCAACTTCGACATGTTCTCTTCGTTGTTAAATTAAGTTTAATTAAAAATTTAATGAGCTTACCTTTCAACTAATTAATTACTATTAAATATAATTATCAGCTGTGTAGGACGCACTTAACGTTATTATGTTATAGACACCATTTTAGATGATACCTCTCATAACTGTGAAAAAAACATCTTAGTCGTAAGAAACGTTAACAACTAAGACAGTTGCACAAGTCCTCAATCTAATAATACGTTATAGTTATCAATTTTCAATCATTAAACTAATACTCAAAGGTACCAGCAGCATTCATGCAGCCAGCACACTTGAATACGCGTGAATCCGCGCACACACACGACACACGCGCGAGCGCACACACAAACAAACACAGCAGATGGAGATTTCTTTACAGTCGAATCCAGTAACTACAACTGCGAGGCCAGGCATCTTACCTGCTGCACCACCTCACCACCCAGGCATATGGCACATATTAGATTTGATTCAATGCCGATTGTGCCACCGACTAACCAAAGAGTAAGGAGTAATCATCCTCATCGTCTTCCTCTTCATCATCATCGTAACTTGTCATCATTTTACTTTTTACAAAATCATTAAACTCTTTTTCATTGCTGATTCTCATTACCTGTGATGATGTGATAATGCTAAAGAAAATTTGGTCAATCAATCAACCGATCAATCAATTAACTAACCAACCATTCATTCAACAAACCAACCAATCGATCAAATCGATCAATCAGTCTGTCAGTCAGTCAATCAACCTGTCCCCCAATCTCAACCAACCAACCAACCATACACTCACTTTCATAATAGAGTTCATCATCTTCTCAGTCAGCACTCCATCATGACTAAGCACTAAACAACCATCATCTGCTATGTAACCCTGTTTAGTGCATGAATGACTGAGTGATGACGACGACGATGATGACAATAAACCCACGCCAAAAAAAATAAAAAAATAAATGAACAGAAATAGAAATGATGATGTGAGTAAATCATGAGCAGTAAGCAAGTGAATGCATGACGAATGTCTCGTTCATACTGACTAGCTTAGTCAGGTAACTCCACTTTTTATCAATGAATGGTGCATTTTGATTGGCTACCGGTAAGTTGGTTGATTGGTGACGTTGTTGTTGTTGTTGTTGTTGTTGTGTTGGCTGATCTGTGTTCATTTGAAGAAATGTTTCCCGTAGATCATTCAATGGAATGTCCACCTAATGAAGAAGTTAAAAAAAAAATTTTAAATGCATCTGCATGGGAAATAGAAGCATTTCAAGCAACACAGTTTAGTGCTCAATGGAAATTATTTCAAAATAAGATTAACCTAGTTTTGGCAAGATTTGAAATGAACTCTTTAAATAAAAATGTAAACACCATATTTATAATTAACCATTAAGAAAAAATATACATAAATATATCACAAAGACAGACACACGCATACACAAGCATACAGAAAAAGAGAGAGAGAGAGACGCACGCACACACACAGACAGACACGTACAAACGTGAATATATATGAAATATATGATATAGAATGAATTAGTAGCAACAAATAGACCAACAGTATCATACAGAGCAAGTGTGGGATGTTCAGCGTAGCCATACATATGCAAGAGCTGTTCATTTGATAGTTCACCGTATGTGTTGAAGATCTCTTCGTTCTAATATGGTTTGGTGTATGCGTGTGTGTGTGTTTGTGCGTGTGTGTGAGTGAATGTGGGTAGATGTGGAGATTTGATAAGTTTAGTTCAATTTATTAAAAAGTTAGGATCATTATGGAGATAAAACTGTGATTTTCATTTATTGAGATGCTGCTGGTTTATAAATGATGTTTTGTGCATTTTGATTTTATAACTAAACACTACTATATGAAATTTTGTTTTTATGGCCCTAGATTTTTTAATACGACTAACCACCTTTGTTTAATTGACTATCACGCTTACAAAGCACCTTCAATAAACCTCCTTACAAGCAAAAGACATCAATCTAAATTGAATGACAAACTTTTTTGATATTTCTTTTGGCAAGCATTTCCAAGCACTGAGGTCTGAACCTGATGAATGCATTGTTTTCACTGGCGTGATTCAAGATGTCTGCCAGTGGTACCATCATTGGTGGGTGGACATCATCCTCATCATCATCATCGTCGTCGTCATCATCTTTGCCTGGTTTCTTCGGTTCAGTGAAGCTGTACGCCATGACAAAAGAGACCATCTTCTTGAAGTGATGCAAGGTGATGTTGTCTGCGCTGTGCGATGAAATGTGTGGTGGGGTTAAGGAAGGCGGGAAAAGTCCAGAAGATACAAAATAAGGTAAAAAAATATTGAGGCTGGTACAATTTGTAAGCAGTGCAATGTGGGGCGTTCAATGTTCAACTGCACAACCAATATAAATTCATCTTTTCAATTCAATTTTCATGTACAGTAGGTAGTTGGCAGAACAAGTTTGTACGAGAGCTGTATGGACTGTTATTCTCATGACGTAAACATTAATTAACTCGTTCAACACTCGTTCATAAAAATGAAATTTATTTTTTAACATCAAAAACCCAGGCTGCCATAAACATGCATTCCCAACCGGACATTTAGAACCAAGCTTGAACACGTACAACGTACATTACTTAGTATCCTTATTATTGTTATCTTTGCTATATTTTTATCTTTAGATAGAAGATCGCAGCAAAGAAATATTGAATCTATGTTAAACATCTGGAATATATATATATATAGGTCCTGCGTAGTCGGGTTTCTAGGCAGGTTCCCAGCAGAGAAAACGAAGTCGTAAATGTGATTTATATAGTTACATGGATTAGTGTTACTGTTGGCATTCAAATAAATGTTCAACAACATTCATGAATATGTATACAAACAGTACATAAATATTATGTAAGTACATATGTTGAAATACACATACAAAATTAGAATAAAAAAAAATCAAACACCAACTTGAACAATTGAGGATGCTTCTTAACAAAGGGCACAACAATGTGTTCGAATTCAAATGTTAATGACTTCAGATCGCGATCCAACAGCCCCAGCAAATTCGTTCCTTTCAATTCTTCATTCAATTCCTCTCTGCAACAAACGTGAATGCAATTGATAAGGAGAAGAAAATGTAGTCACATCATGTAACACGGCATTCGATGCCATCTATGTAGGTCATTTATGTTTATCAGTCTATTTTAAATAATAGTGATCACAACAATAATAAACAACAACATGAATAATAAAAATGAGCCAGCAACCAAAAATCGAACCGGCAACCAGCAAGCACCTCAGTAACTTACTTGGACCACATCATTGGAAGGTGGAGGTCATCAAAATCAGGCACCATGTTGAAGTAAGGCTGCCACCTACCACCAAAGCCACAAGCAGCAGCTTCCATCTTATCATACTCATGCAACAGACACAGGAGAAGAGGTACCCAGCTACTGCCACTGTCCAGTTCCTCACCAGCTTGTTTGTTCATATCATCATATTTGTTCGCAATCAATTAAAATTTTAAATAAAATCATGTGACCAATCAGTTTTTTAAATTATACCATCCAAAATTTTTTTACTAAAAACAGTTCACAAATTTTCAGGTCAGCGAATACGAGGCTTTATATTATTTTTTTAGCCAAATCACATTCAGTAGGTGGAAAACATATTTAGTAGAAAACATCTAACGAAGCTAAAGTACAATAAAATAATTTTTTTTTTAAATTCTACAAAAATGAAATCGGTACATGAAGATAAGTATCTAAAAGTGACAATGTGAGGAGCTGAAAGGAAGTATCAATAAAAAATATAATTGAGAATGAAACAAAAAATTAATAAATTCATTTTCCTGAAAAATATTTTAAAGCAAATATCTTGACCCTTAATAAAATCATCGGTAATCTCATCAACATCACTGTCGCAAAAACCTACCTGCTTCAATCGCCACCTTCAATTCATCAGAGACAGTGCAGGGATGTAAGAGAACACTCCTGGGAACAGTGAAAAGCACATCTCCCTCCGTGATGTCCTTGTCAGCTACCAGGCCCCAACCTGAAGCCACATTTCTCTTGCTGACAGATACCTGGACAGTGACAACCAAAAAGAAAACAAATTAACTTTCGTTGATGATGTTTTGTTGCATACATTCTATCACGTACAAATTTAATTCCATTTTAAATTTTAATTAATACTGAATATCAACACTAACTAATTGTTTAATAAAACTTTTATTAAAACTTTTAAAGAAATAAATTTTATTCAAAATATTGAAAAATCTCAATAGAAACCCCATCTAACATTGAAGAGCAAGAAACCTTCCTGCCGCATCCAATCCTGGAATGCAACCAGCTTTTCATCATCTGGTAACAGCTTCATTTTTTTCCTAACAACATTTTCATTGTCATCTTCATCGTTGTGAGTGTGCTTAGCCATTTGTAACTCTGTTTGTTAGCATAAACAGTGAATGAAATTGTCTGTATATGTTTTACAATTAACTGTTACATTAAAAATTAAATATATTATATGATAAAAAAGAACTAAATAAAAATGAGGGATGTATAATATAAAGTTGTTTTTGTTTCACGACAGTTAAATTTTCCTGTGTTAATGTATGATTTTTTACTGTATGTGCTCCGGTGTTTCTAAATGACATTAATCAGGATCATTAATCATTAGAATAAATATTAGATTAGAGATTAGCATTATATATTTATGATTTTTATATGTTTTGAAAAAAGTTTAATTAATCATGTTACTTTGTAAAATGTAACTTCAATTCTAAGAATTAAATTGTATTATTGACTTTATTGAATTATTGACTTGACTATACTTGACTTTTTAATTTTTGGTTTGACCCTCAAAATTTAATTGCTTGCTTACCACTTCTTAAAACTTAAATAGATGCTGTCTGTTATCACCCATTGAATAACTAACCCTAACGCTAACATAACGTCCTAACTCATACCTACAACCATCACCCACCAAAAAAGAGTGGGTCCATTTGTGGACTATTTGTGGTCCATCGTTTGATGGACCACACCACACCAAACCAAACCAAACCATGTGATTATTAATTTAAATTCTGATTTACATAATTGATTTTGAAAAATTTAATGCGAAGACCAAAAAATGCATCTCCACATTGAAATAGCGTGGAAAGAAATAAACTAGGTGCTAACCAGCACCGGCACTAACCAAATTCAAGCTGACGCCTCATCCATTAGGACTTCATTATCAACTATACGAAGTTTAAAAGTAAAAATAATGTACCTACATGGAAAAGATATGAGCAAGACATAATTTAAACGTTTGTAAGCACAGGTGAACCGATATAAGTCGTTAACGAAAATAACCAAAATTAATTAATCATTATTAAAATCATAATTTAAATATATAAAAGTAACTACGACGCTGTCGACTGGTCTGCTTGCTGTGATAAAAAAATGAATATAAGAATAGAACTAAAGCACCTGAATTTAACTTTAACTTGAGAGCGTTTGTGTCACTGTATAATCATCTGCAATTAATATTCATCTGCCACATAATGACTCTCTTTATAAAATATATTAAATGCATGTTGCCAATGGCGCTCTTTTTTCAAGTTAAGCTTCCAATTGGAAAAAAACATTCAAGAGATTTCAGTATATAATGCCGTGCTCCACGAAAAAATAATACGTGAAACAAATGTGCGAAATGTGAGTAAAAAAACTAAACTGGTCGAACTTACTTGGCGTTTATTGAGATTTGCTCACAAATTCGACAGATATCCTTTGTCGAAACCTATAACACCTACATGATAAAATGTGGTGACTGCTTTCTTATTTTCCATTTTTTCGCAAATTTACGTTAGACTTTTCACGCGTTTGAGTGTCATAAAGTAGAGAAACGTCTGGATGTTTAGACGATTCTCAACTGCGTACGGCACTGTCTTCAATTGAACCACATCTCGAGAAATTGACAAACGTTGTAAATACTCACTTAGAAAATCGAATTACCTTACGGCTTAAATTCGTTAAGAACACAGGTATATACATCATGATAAAATATATTCCTTTAACAAACCGAAAACTTCTGATGGAGAATATTTCTAACTTTATATGAAATTTTGTTTTAATTACTTTTGTTTCGATTTAACGGATTTTCAGCACAAATTCGTTTTTTTACTGTACTATTCACTGTATCAATTTCACAAATGCTAAAATTTGTTGACCGGCATGTTTACGCTATGATGACGTCGCGAGATTATTTTCAAAATATTAATAAGAGCGACAAAACAAGGACAATTTTTTAAACATATCGGAGAAACTACGGAACATTATACAGCATCTAAAATTGCGATCATCACTATGATTAACAATAAATTTTGATAACTAAATTTTTTTTAAAAAACACCAATAACGATCGTTTCGTGGAAGATGTAAAACCCAGAAATATCGTTTTGATTGAGTTTATCGAGCTGAAAGTCATGGAAGTTATAGCATTGATATTTTGTCTGTCAGCATTTGACCTCTTGATTGGAGTTCTCCACGGAAGGAACAAAGATGAATCTTTCAATTTGGCGTAACTTAAATTATTATATTGAAAGTTGCATATAAATAAGTTAAACCGATTCGTCGTATATTTCACTTTAGCACGAGGTATGAGTTGTTTCATAGCAAGCTGCAGCCGACCTGAAATATGTGCAGTGCAATAGTTTCTAATTTTTTTCATCGAAAAGACGCACGTTTTTTGTTATGTATAACAATTAGCAAGTTTCATACAGTCAAAAATGGTAATAAATTAATCACCGCAGTTTGCATAGTATGAATTTTAATGATCAGAAGTACTCACTCTTCCTCGTTTGGCGAATGCACGTAGGTGCATGTACTTAAGTTTAAACATGCATACGAGCAAATCACGAATGACTACCAGCGTAGAGCCTGCGGACATCTCGCATTTGATCCGTCGAAATTTTCAACCTTCACACTTTTGGCTTGTGATCAGTTTTGTTCATAAACCCAAGCAATGGTCTCCTCAAGTTTTTCTGAAACTGAACATCCTTATTGACGTCAGTGTTTCAGACATCACATCACATCTGACATTTAATAACCAATTTATTTTAATTAATTTTCATCTTTTGATCTTATCAGACAATTGAGCTTTTATTTCTATAGTTTTATTTTTTATAAATCCTGTTGTTCATTCCTCTCACAAACAATAGCTGTCTACATAAATCAGATTTGCCGTTCCAGTCTGATTGCTTCAATTTAGAACGCAGCATTGGCTTCAGATGCGGTCTTTTGTTCAAAACTTTATGAATAAATAAGTTTTTCTAAAAAAATATTTACATTTGAATGCAACTCTTCTACTTTTCCAGAAAAGAAACAAATGACAACAAATGGTGGTGGAATACGAGGAATACAGCCCATACAAAGAAAGATATTAGAACATTAGACGCCTACATTATTGTGCCTGGACTGAAAACAACTCTGAGCTTTTTGCAATTTTATGGCGGTGAGTCTTTAAAAGCATTACTAATAAAAAAATGTTGTTATTATTTCTCATTTTCAGGTACATTTGTACTCATATTCCTGGTTGCAATAACGGCAATGTTGCTTGCTCGTACGTATGTTTCTTTCTGAACTGTTGCGATGCATTACATTTTGAGATCATTCTTTTCAGATGTCATGAATGAAAGAATTGTTTGTTTGGATGAACTTAAAGAGAAAAAATCAAATTATGTTAATGAAGATACATCGTCAGAAATCGACCACAATGTTTCTCCAAAAGTCGAAAAAAATCGTGAAAGTTTTGACAACGTGAGCGGGGACAAACATGGCAAAAGTGAAAATGTAAGAAAAAATAATTGGTTATTTGTTTAATTTATACAGCGCAGTCTCTTTTTTGTTGAATGACTCTTTTAAAAACTATTTTTCTTGCATTTGAAACACGTCGAACCAGGTCTTCTGGTCAAAACAGGTGCTCCGATCATCGACCCATTTTTCAAATTAAAAATAACCCCGATTCGTATTATATGACTAAATCGTTTTTAAGCGATGAATTCTTATAAACTGCATTCTTATTTCATCGCGCATCTCTTCAGCTTGAAACTGATGGTGATTTAGTGAACTGTACAACGAAAATTGTTAGTTCGAAAGATATAAAAATGACACCAAGCGATAATTTTAGCAATGTGAACAAAGAAAATATAAAGAAAACAAGACTGGGAATTAACTCAGCATCAGTATGTTAGTCAAATATTTTCCGTATCGATATGTTTATTAACAATACCTTTTACTTTGACGCAGCACTTAACTGAGGGCGATATGTTAGATTATGTAACGAAACATGCCATTTCAAAAACTGCGAAATTCACGCCGAGTGATAACTTCCACCACCTGAGCCGGGACAGACACGCCAAAATGGAAAGTCTGAAAAGATCGAAATTGACGAAAACCTCCATACCGGTGTGGTATTTTTTAGATTATTTTTGGCGGCGCAATAGCTAAGTAGATAAGCTCGCCTGGTGCTGTTTTGCAGTGACCGAGTTTGAATATGACGAAAGATTCAAGCCCTATCACACATGCCTCGTGTGTGATGCGTCGTTCAACACGTTTGTTTGTGTGTTGTTGATTCCTCTGAATCTGGGAAGAGTACGCAAGGATTTTATAAAACTAATTTAAACCTTTAACCTTTTTTTCATTCTAACTTTTTTAAATTAGTTTTTATAAAAGCCTTGGGTACTATTGTTACCTTGCACTTCAAACGAGTTTAAGCTTAGGAAATTCAAAAATTACAATAAAAGTTATATTTTTTATATTAAGATTTATATGGATCTAATTTTAGTAATTTAAATTATTCTCTTCATGAATTTGTCATCTGGTGTGCTCATATTTAATGATATTTTTACCATTACATTTCTTTTGTTAGCTCATATCCGAAGATGAAAGACTAGATTACAAGAGAGAGAAATTGTTTCAACAGAAGGAGAGGCAGAAGATTTTCGATGACAAACGCCACGCAGTTTAAAAAATTGTCAACTGAACGCCGAGTTTTTTTAAAAAATCATAATTGCCCGATCTTCTCGTATTAGAATTGATTTGTTGGTTTCGATGATTAATAAAAATAATTTTTTGTGAGGTTTTTATATTTTCCTGGAAGTTTATGAAAATTTATTGCATTCATTTAAAATAAATACTACCCTTTGAAAATCGTTCTCTATTTTTTGTCATGAATTTCAAATTCATCTAGAGTTATAACATTTTTTTAATTTTTGCATCTAAAAGATAATTTTTTCAGTTGAATCCGAATGTCATATCAAAATACAAACACGTATTTGTAATGAGACATAATTCTAAAATTTGACTGCTTCTAAAAGAAATATCAAGCACTGAAAACAATTGAATGTGGAGGTGAAGTTTTTCCGGCTGACAGTATTTCTAGCATCTTCCTGATGCTCACTGCGCACACTGTTCCAGGCAGAGCCATTTTTCCTTTCCCAAGCTGACTACGGGCTTCTGGTTAAACTTTTTTTTGCCATACTGAACTGTGTTTCACAAAATGCATTGCTGCGAAGTATCAAATGTTGGTACGGGGTCTGTTCAGAGATGGAAATCTTTTTGTTGATCAATTACTTGTTTCTTCAACTTGGAAATCTTACACCAATTTGTATCAAACATCACTGATATTGCAATGAAGTTGAAAAATAGTTGGTATTATTTATGTATTTGTGTTAAAAATATCAAAGAAATTAGCTTTTGTGTGTGCAGGTATAAAAAATTTGAGGGCTTCAAACTTGTAAGTTATTAATAAGTTGCTATTTCAATATTTCTCTATTCGATGTGCAAACCGCTGGAAAAATATGCGTCCCGGGTCGCGAGACATAAGGTAAGAAATTCGGGACTGTCCCGCTCAGTTCGGGAAGGTTGGCAACTTTATTTGCACGATTTGATTGAGCAAGTAGTAACTGTTATTGATTACAATTCGTTTATGTTATTTTATTCCACACTTTTAAGTTTCGACGAAATGTTGTCGAAAGTTTTAGTTAATAAAAACTTCACTTTGCTACAATTTATTAAAAAAATTCACTATAAAACATTAAAATGCAAATATTTCAATTGATAGTCTTTAATGAAAATTTCATTTTACAAATTTTTTAAAACAAATTTATTTTTCCATATCCAGTAGGGGCAGAAGCTTCTGATGGTGTCGTTGGTGCAGCTGTTGACACAGCATTCGCATTCCAGGTTCATTGAATATCCATTTCTATAAACATGCATGGCTGATCTTACTTCTTTTCTTATGTCGTCGTCTTAAAAATGAATGTGGTAGAATTATGCTTAAGTTTGAAGATTGAAAATTTTGGAAAAACCAAGTATACCGTCTATATGTGATAGAATCTCTCTAGCCTCCCTCCTCCACTCGTTACACACACTTGCGATCCTCGGCATCAAATCTTCGCACAAAGGCCTATCAAATTCCAAAGTCAGCCAATTGCATTCCTCGGCTCCGATTGATCCTGCGATCAACAAGATGAGCAGCAAACTTTTTCTTGAACAACTCATCATCGTGTCTTCAATTACAACTGGCTTGAGATATATTCTCTTACAAAACTGCTTTTATAGTAAAATTTTCCAATTCATTTGCAGATGAAACCATAAAATTTGGCAAATAGATTCTAATAATATAAAAACGCATTTTATTTCCTATTGTTTGAAAACTTCAAGCGAAATCTCGACTGCGCAGTGCAATGCTGATTAGCGGACGGGCGATAAATTAGCAACCGCCAGGAAATGAGGGAAGCAGCAAAAACGTTAATTTCCTAACAATTCGAACACAATTCAAGAAAGTTAATGCTCAATCAGCTTCTGTTCATTGTTTTCATTCGAAGGTGGAATAATATGACAAAATTGCAGTCTCAAAATGTTGATATTTGAAGAAATTGGAATGTGCAGGCCAGAGCTGTATCCTTAGTGTTTTTAAACAGAGACAAGCGTGATTTAATTTTTTCAAAATGATTGAATGATGAATTGACTGGTTGATTAGCTGTTTGGTTGACTGGATGGTTCGTCGGTCGGTTGAATGGTTGGTTCAGGTTGGTTGGTTTCAGGTTGGGTGGTCGGTACCATTTAAAACTAACAAATCACAAAGCAGGCTTATTAAAAAAACAAATAATTGGTTAATATTTCAGTGTCAAGAAGACCGAAATTTTTGATTTGTTTGAAGAGAACTTAAAGTGACACAAAATTAAAAAAAATTTTCTGTTTCATTAAATGGAAATTAGCTAGACAATTTAAATTTTTTGCTTTATTTATAAACAAAATAAGCAGAAATTTTGTGTTTGAACACAACAGACAGTCAGTCATTTTAAAACCATTTTGCGTTTTCTGACTTCAACTTCTTCCTGTCACAAATTCTTGAAACATCCATGTTAAGTACGTCATAATAAATTTGAGTGAGTGATAGTAAATAATTGGTTGATTTTTAACCATTAAGATCAAATCAAAATTGAGAGCTATCCTTTCTACTTTATTTAATTTTTTAGCGTTTATGAGCACGAAAAATCGTAAGTGAAAATTCTACCGTCAAGTGAAGAAGAGCTGACAGACTGATGTTGGTAGGAGTTGGCGGCCCGCATATGAAAGAGACATTACAAGTTGACAAAGTTAGCTGGCCTAAAATGTCGTGTGGTGTGGGTGAGACGTTCAAATGGAGTGGGAGTCGACGGACGCCCAAAATTTGAAAATTTTTAAATTAAGAAACTTGACGCGGGGGCTTAAACCGGCCACTGTGGTCAAGTCACGGAATAATTGTTGAAGGTTGAAAATTTCACCATCTTCAAACAACCGAACCGTTAGTTCTTTAATTCATTAAACAAAATGGAACACACTTGATGCATTTATTTTTTTTAGAAAGCAAATAATGGCTAAAAAGGACGAAAATAAGAAACAGAAAAAAATTAAAAAATTTAGGAATGGATACAAATTTCGAAATTTTTTTTCAGATTTCGCTATCGCAACAAAGTTCATAACTTATATAACAACTGCATCGGGCTTTTATTTATTTAAGAAAATTTTTTTACAGTTCCTGAAAAAAAATTCTACCAAACGATGCTCACATTTGAATCACTTCGATTTGCAACAGAACATGTATTTTACATGTAAAGAAAAAGCAGAAAAACTAAAACTGATGTTAATCAAATGGTATAAATGATGTCATATTTATATCACAACTCACATCATCAACGGATACAGCATCGAAACATAGCTTGAGAAACATTTATATCGATCAGTAAGTCGATGACAAAAATGAAACGACAAATTGTCAGTTTGTTAAATATTTTGAATCCTTCGCTCATCATCATCATTATCACCGTCACTGTCATCATCATCATCATTCACATCAGCATCACTCATACCATCATTATACACCCACATCATCATCATCATACACTCACATCATCATCATCACTCATCTAGCAACAGATTAATCCTTCACTCATCCTCATCTTCTTCGTCACCCTCATCACCTCTCCTCTTCTTACGTGGAGGCATGATACTTCCAGCGATGAGACCGTTGGCGGCGGTGAAGAGGTTGATTGGACTGTTGCCGTCTGTTATCAGGGTCGACTTGAGGCCAAGTGCTTGCAGAAGTTTAACCTGTTCGAAGCATGCAATTTTGTATGGCAATATGAAAAAAATGATTCGGAAACTACAAGGGTAACTGATTCAAATGTTTCCACTGATTCAAAACTTTCTCAGATTCTCAAACTTAGATTCATCATAAAAAAAACGACGCCTGCCTCGTAAAAAGGCTCACAAATTTCACTCAAACAAGTTTCATCATATCTGTAAATTTAAAAAATTCTGACAAAATAAACAATCCTAAACCACGTAAATATTCAGGATTGTATAACAGGTTAACGATTTTACAATTCAAATCCACCACAAATCCTTCAAAATGCACCACGAATGCTTTACCTGCAGATCGGGACCGGCAGTAGCCATGGCAAGGAGGGTCTGCGATCCGATGGCCTCCACCATGTTCTTGAACTTGGTCGTCTCAATTTCAGCCAGTTCGCGCTGCTTCTCAATTTCGAGATCGCGTTGTGAGGTGAGGTACTTCAGTTCGCCGTCACGAGCTTCTTCCAACCTCTCTCGTTCGCCTGCCTGTCATGCGTGGTTTCGTACTATTGAAACACTTTTGTTTTGTAAACGAAACTAAAAAATGATAGGTTCGAACATTTCCCGCCCCGAATGACTGCCTGCTTGTTAGACGCAGTTAATTCACGTCGTTAATATTTACAAATGGTGTCGACGATAAAAATAACACTGCAATCATCTCAGTAAACACGTCGTCTATCGTCATTATCACCGAACGCCCTTAAATATTAAATAAACAAACAAAAAAATAAATGGATGGATGAATAAATGAATTAATGAATAATTTACAAAAATAGTAAATAATATATGATAATGATGATTAACTAGCCACTGACCCATTCAATACTCTTGGCCTGTTTCTGCAGTTCAGCTTGCGTGACGGCAGCTTCGGCCTCAATCTTCATCGTCCAAAACTTGCTCTGAGCTTCCGCCTTCGCTAGTCCAGTGCTCTCAACAGCAGCACTGCTCGCCTGCAGCTCCAGCAGCTCCTTCCTCGCCTTCTCTGCCTCCGCTTCGTCGCTGATCTTTTGTCGCTCCAGCTTTCCTCGAGCCTCTTGTTCCAGACGTTCTGCCTCGTGTCTGGTGTTCATGGTTGGTGGATGAAAGTAAAGACGAATGAATGCGTGGGTGGTGGGTAAAATGAAGATGAATTAATGCGTGGGTGGTGAATAAGTATGATGAAAAACGATGAATGAATAGATAATTGGTAAAAAGAATGAATTTTAGATATATGAACGGAAGAAACTTGGAGTCAAAAAGAGATAAAAAGAAAAAGTGAATTGACGGACGGACATATAACTTAAATGGAAAGTAGATGGATGCATCAACAAATGTGTTTCAAGTAAAAAATTAATAACAAACATGTTCAACTTGTTTTTAAAAAATAAAAATCATTTATATTAAGTGACAATTTTAAACTAAATTCAATCAATCAATCAATGATCCTCCTTTGTCCATCAGTGGACCGTCGAGGCCGATGGTGTACATCTTAGCATGCTTTTTACATTTCTTTTTTTCTTTCAAAAAACCTTTTTTATTTTTGGTCAGTTTTATTGAATTCAGAATACCAACACCAATCCATTCAGTAATGTCATCTATCCATTTCTTTGCAGGTCTACCAACTTTTTTCTTCCAATCTCTTTTCCTCATTAGTACCATCTTAATCAATTTGTCTTCCCTCATTCTACAAATGTGTTCCGAAAATCCCTATTTTCTTTCTATGACTTTGTCATATACACTTTTCTGTCTTCCAAGTTGATTTCCGATGATTTCGTTCTTTACTATCTGCTTCCAACACTTCATCTCAAATGCTTCCAATCCGTCTTTGCCTCTTTTCTTTATTGTCCATGTCTGCCAAGATACACAAACTGGTCTACTTGTTCGCGTTTTTTGATTCTATCTGAAATTCCGCATTGTTTCTGCCTTTTCCCGTAATCATCACCTTCGTTTTGTCTATGTTGATATGCAACCCGTGATCTTTTCCACCAACATGTGTTAGTTCAATTAGTTTCTGCAGACCTTCTTTTCTAGAAGCTAAAAGATCTATATCGTCTGCAAACCTGAGATCTTTGACAGTTCTTCTTTCTAAGTCAATTCCACACAATTCCGAATTTTCCATTTTTTCCATTGCTTTTTCTAACAATGCCATGAATAGTATTTGTGATGTTGGATCGCCATGTCTGCTTCCAATGTCTGCCTTTATCCAATCCCCAAGTTCTGTACCTATTATTACCGACATTTTTGATTCTTCATAAAGCTCTTTCAGTACTTTGACCAGCTTTTCTGATGTCCTCATAATTTCTAACAAGCCTTCATGCCAGACAGAATCAAACGCTTTCTTAAAATCAACAAAGCAATGGTAGATTGTCTGACCGCTACTTTTTGCATCTTCCATCAGCAGTCTCAACATGAGAATATAGGCAACAAACGACGAACAGTTATAGAAGAAAATAGTGCACTTTTTAAAACAACAGTTAAGAATGATCAAGCAGAAAATCGGAGTGTCAGATAACGACTCCGACCTTTTGTAATAAAGTATAACAAAGAAGAAATAATGAGCAGCACTGAATGAGCAATGGACGTGAAACAAAGAAGAAGAACAAACAATACCTAGCAGCAGCCTCTTGGGAGTTGGTTGTGATTTCGATGGCTAGTTGGACAGATTTTTGGAGAGCATCTCTCGTCCTCTGGTCGACTGGTTCAACGGACTGAATGTCGATGCTAGTGAAGATCAATCCGTTCTGAGTGAATATGAACTTGTCTCGCACCTTCCTGTTCTCGTCCACACCGAACACTGAAGCTCTGATGATCCTCGCTGAGTTCTGAGGTGAGGGATTCATCCGATGGATCGTTGCATGGTTTTTAGGTTGGTTGGATAAAAGGCTTGCATCATAAAGAAGATGAAATGATAATGATAAACGAAAAATGGCTCAAAAATATTCCATAAACGATATTTTTAGTGCCATTATCATTCAAATGCACAGTAAAAAAGTGCTAAAAATGAAAGAACCAATCACCAACAACAAGCAGTCTTATCCCAACAAACAAATAAACAAACGAACCAACCAACCCACCAACCAACCAAACAAACAAATAAACAAACAAAACAAGCAAAAAAACCTTGTGGAAGTCATCAAACTGAACACTGGCAACTGATCCTCTGATTCTGGAGGCGATGGCCTTGCAGGCATCTCCCACAAAGTCTGGAACACTGAACAACTTGGCCGCCTCTGCCTCCGACCGTGCATCCGGGTCGAAGTGCCTGGTGAGGTTTGAAGACGGGGATGAAATTAATCGTCACACAATAAAAGTACTCAAGAGCGAGATCCTGAAATGCGGACAGTTAAAAGAAACGGACAGTATCGCTCTGCTCGGAACTGTTTTGTATGTTAAATTGTCCATACAGAGCGGACTTTTTGAAGTAACGGCATGCGGACATGCTTTTTGGTACAAAGTAACTTTTAAGTCTTAAAGAGCGGACAATTTATAACAAAAATGCGCTAATAAGGCATTATTAATTTTTGTTTCGCCTTTCAAGAAGTTTCTTTTCGCTTTATTTACCGTGATCTCGTTTCTTTCGTCGTTAATAAAACGCTCACCATTGATGATGGTGTTGTAAGTGAAAAAATTCGTGACCTTGAAAGAAAAAAATAGGTACCAGTTGTGCCAGAGATTCGATAGTGGAATTAGCATCAGAAAGATTGCTGGGAAATTTCAATGAGAACAAATCAATATGCAAACATTCGCGAAAACAAAGAAACTATTAAACGGTAATAGAGATCAAATCAAAATGAGGAAGAAGATGGCACCGGAATATGCCAGGAAACTTAAATATTATTTAAACCGTAAAGGCACAGAAGAAATGTTTAAATTTTCTGAATAAATTGAATTGAAAATATTTTAGAAAATGAGATATTTAAAACAATTTGTAATGCGAAACAACCATCAAACATTTTTTGGCAAAATAAAAATGTATGAAAAAGCTGTTATTTTGTTTTACTCGTAGAAAAACAATATTCGAATATGAAAATTGAAGTTTAATGTTGAGGCTTCAGAAGAGGACAGTTCAGAGAAGCGGAGAGTTTGAGTCTTCCCCGTCGGTGTCCTCTCTTGAAGACTTTTACTGTAAATCATTTTGCCACAATTTAATCAATGCCATGTTCACATTAATTGATGGCTACGTAAATATAACGCCATAAAATTAACGTTACGTTGCCATACGCAAGGTACATCAAGAAAGGTTTAGAAGGATGAAGCACACAAACATTGAAAATAACAACGCCAACAATGACGAAGCTAACCAGTTGTAGGAGAGTTGTAGCTGCAGCCTGGCGTGGTCGGCCGTCTCAACGACGATGACGTCAGTCATAAAGTCAGGTCCCAACAACAAACACAACGACTTGATCTGGTTGGGCTTCTTTGGTTTGCCACCTGACAGACTCAGCTGAGTGAAAGCTTCATCGGGACCCAGCATCACCAGCTCTGGTCCGAACACCACCCTGTTCAAAATGACGATGATGGTGGTGGTGACTGGTGAGTTAGTTTTTATGAGGATGAAGATGATGACGACGATAGCGGCAATGATAATAAAATAAATAAAACCATCACCATCACTCATGTCCCGGCTCTACCTAAGCAACAATTGTTTCGATTGCAATGATCCAACAAACAAGTTTAGTTACAACTTCAGCACAAAAATCACCAAATCAGCAAATCTTCCGACCACAACACCACACATCACACACACCTGGCCTTCTTCTCCTTGTAATCATAGATCTGTACAGCAGCATTATGGGGCACTCTGAATGTAATGACCTTCGATTTATCTCTGGACTTTTTCACTTCACCCGCCCCTCTGGCACCCCTGTCAGCCAAGGGGTCATGGTCAAGGAGGAGTAGGGCCTCAACATTAGGTGGGAGTTCTTTAGAGAAGAGTTCTTCATCTTGGTTGAGCATGTACGTCTCGCCGATGATGGCTCTAACCTGTTCGTAAGTTGAGTTATGGAACGGTCTCTAGTGGCTTTGCATGTATGTATTAATGCTGCTTGTGGAAAAAAGAATAATAATAATAATTTAAAACACCCGTGAGTTGAAAAACGGTTAACGTGGAAACATTTAAAAGCATCAATCACAGCACCAACTGAAACATAACAGACTAGACAGCTGCAAGAACATTAAAGCAACAACAGCAGCGTTGACCACTTCAACATCTGAATCAGTGCTATTGCAAGGTGCTAACAAAATCAAAAATATCAAATCATGAACAGAAACAACAACAATGACCACCAGAATCAACAATATTCAACAACAATACAACGATAAACAACAATAATCAGCCACAACAAACAACATCTAACAACAATAAACAGCCGCAACAGCGTCGCACCTTCCCGGTTTTAACGTTCCTGACATAGATACCCTCATTCTCATCGAGAGGGATGGCCGACCTTTTCGTGACGACCTCAATTTCAACTGGAGGGATGTACTCAACTGGACCGCGGATCATCCAGCGGTCGCCAGGCTTGCGTTCCTTGTCCTGTGTGATGATGAGGATGTGATGATGGTGACGATGTGATGATGAGGATGACAATCTGATGAGGATGGTGATATTTGTGATGATGTTGGTGTTAATAGTGGTAATGATGGCGATGATGAATAAGATGATTACGATTACGAGATGAAAATAGGTAAAATATAATGTATGATGAAAATGAACCAGCCAGCCAGCCAGCCAGCCAGCCAGTCGGCCAACTAACCAGCCAGCCAGCCAGCCAATCAATTAATCAAACAAGCAGCCAATCAAACAATTATTCAATCCAATTGCATCAGTCAACTGACTCTGTCCATGAATCCTTCATTGGCCCGCAGTATGAGACCCTCATCCTCGCCCAGCACAAACACATTCTGAATCCCCTTCTCTAGCGTCTCCCCTGGCGTCAAAATGTTAATTCCAATCAATTAGGTTAAAACACTTTTCAAAAATGTTTCTGACTCATTTGCGATGTATAACTGAAAGTTAATAATTAAATTAAATTGTAATTAAATTAAATTATAATTATAATTAAAACTACTCACGCACACACACAAACACAGACACACACAAACACACACACACACCCAGACAGACCAGGTTGTAGGAAAAATGACTTCTCCCCCTTCACCAACTTCTTCTTGCCCAGCTGGGGCATGCCCTTATCATCGACGGGGTCTAGGATCACGCAGTATTGTCGGTTGGTCAGTGTTGTTATGTGAACCTCACCAATCACCTGCGGCAATCAGGGGTTGCATAAATTATTATAATTAGTTGTTTGTCAGTCATCATGCAAAGTATGGAAAATGATGTAACAACCTGCAGTAGGTTCATACGTGCTAACAATTGGATTTTCAAAAATAAGGCAAAAAAATGAAAGATTTGTTTTTTACTACGATAATAGTCCTTGATATTTTTGTGTATAACCGTTATAAATAAAGTTGACAATTAAATAAACGATGTAATTTTCTTTTGTTGTTTCGTTAGAATCATAATCACCATCAATATTGCAATTAAACTAGTTAAAATGTCGTCATTCTAAAGCTTTCTTTGATGTGTCTTGTTAGGATCATTATTATTACTGATATGACAATGAATTTGAAAATTAGTTGGTTTGATTGATGTACATGTCTTTGAAAACGATCTGCATGTTTATATTTATAAGTTTTAGTTGCTTGAAAAAAAAATTAATTAAAAAAAAGTAATTTTTTAATTTTATAAATCATAACACAAGCAAAGAGTACATTTTTTGATGAAAAAAACCGAGTTGAACGTTAAAAGAACCTGCTCATAGACGTTGGGTATATGTGCCTCCGTGTCAGTCGACTTGATCAACCACTCCTCTCCATTCCTCCTCGTCACGCCGAAGTCATCTTTGAAGGTCTTCAGTGCCCTCACGTGCAGGGCGGTCTGGTGGTGGAAGTCGAATGAAAGGTGTGAAGCAAGACATAATTTAAAATTAATAGAAAATACTCTAAGCTAGCATTACCTTAATAATGTTTGATACATCTAACTTGATCTTTATATTATCAAACAAGAATAATAACAATTAAAAAATATGTTTTTTCAAAAACATACTATGTACATTTTTAATTTCATCTCATTATAATTCTCGAAAAAATTTATTTTTCAACCAGACAACCAAGAATCAGAATTCTTTAAATCAAATCTAAATGACAGTCTGACATGAAAAAACAATCAAAATATTTCAAAGATGTATTTGTTGCAGCCACAAAATTGTGATGAAATGAAAGCCAGCCAGCCAGCCTAAAAAGTACAAACCTTATCATTGAGGACTTGTGCATAGACTACCTCAACCACCTCCTCATATGCACCTGGCAGGTAGGCCCCCGTCCTCTTCACCAACCACTCCTCTCCTGTGACTCGGGGGTGGCCCTCGCGATCGATGCACTCCTTGCGAGCCCTCAGTCTGATGGCCTGATTGGCTAGGATCACCGTGGCTCCAATGGACTGCTCGATAACGACTTCTTTGCGAGGGATGTATGTTCCTGGACGAAAATGCAGTTGAATTGTTGTGCTCATTTAATGTTCTATGAATCTTTTATGAATTATTCGTTTGCAAAGTGCTAATTTATGCAACTGAAATGATTTTGAAAGCATTTATTTAAATCAAATGAGAATTTAAAACGAGCTTAAATAAACATATTTGAGTAATTTATAATTTAGTTTCTTTTAGTTTCTTTCAATCCTAAGTAATTGAAAATTTCAGGTTTTAGCAAGTACAATGGACAACAAGTCAGATGGACAACACAACACATCAGAAGGACAACACATTACATCAGATGGACGACAACCACACATCAAAAAGACAACACTTCATATTTTAAATGGTCCTTTAGGGCAGGAATCTCAAAAGGAAATGCTACACTTCCACAGTGGTTGGCAAGAATGTGTTTGATTGTGTGTACGAATTTTGAAGAGTGTTCCTCATTCAAAATATGCATGATGAATAATAAAAATTAAATAACAATATTGCCTGTATGCAAAAACTGAAAAAAAAGGTTAGGCGTTTCAATCTTGGATCACCAACCAAGTCTTGAGAAGACAAAATTTGAGAAAGAAACTTCAATTTAAAGATCTGATGATGAGAACATACAAGGTAAACACGAAATAAACAGAAAACCGAACTAATCATCAGCAGATAAAAAGAATTAAAATAAAAATAAGACATCTAAGTTAACATTCAATGGCCCTTTCTTTATAAGAAAGTTTGGCGTGAGAAATAAAGAATAAAACCAGTTTAGTGTCTCTAGCTGTCAATGAATTAATGAATAATAAATGAGAAGCTACACTAAGGGAGGAATGCAAACTGCACGAGCTGAGAACAATGAAAAATGAAATATTGAAAATGTTAATTAGGCATTTCAAGTGTGGTGCAAGGCAAGGCGGTTTTATTTAAAAGCCACGAGGTGCAAGGATCAATTACTAACAATATCAAATTAAAACTTCGCATTTCAATGGTGTTACAATGAAATTTTGTTGTTTTATATCAATCATACGGTGCTGTATAATATATATTAAAAAGTAACAAGATATCTACTTTGTTATATACTCAATGAGATCATAAAAATCTGAGAAACAGATGGCAAATGAAACACAACAAGCAAGCATTCAACAAGAAAGATATATTTCTAACTATTACTTTCATAGTACAAACATAAGCAGCAAGTTAAAATGCTATTCAAATTGATATAGAAAATAATTTTCATATCAAAAACATCAAGAAGAACATTCAGTTGAAAATGAACACACTAGAACCAGAAACAAATACTGCCAGCCAAATCAACAACCACAAACAAAGACAGACCAATATTTTAAAAAATGATGAAACAAAAAAATCTACAAAGATAAACAAATATGAGAACAAATGTATAATAACATTTATAATAACAAGTCACAGAACCAACAATCACAAAGATTAACAAATAAATTTAGCAGCATCACCAACAACAAAGAAGCCAAAGTAAAAAAAACAATGGAAGGCCAACCAGGTCCTTCAAAGAGCCACTCATCACCAGCAGTTCGTTTCTCTCCAATGTCATCTTCAAAATCCAAGATGGCTCTGAGACGAAGAGCAGTGTTGGCGACAACGATTTTCAACTCAGATACTTGTTGCTTCAGAATTTCTCCGGGCCAAAGAGGAAATGGATCCTGAGCCAATCGAACGTCGAGGTCAGCGTGACACAATTTCACCTGACCATTGGCATCAAGAACGACTCTTCCATCCTTGTCCTTAACAGTCGGGTTTTCAACGACGCAGTAGTGGCGAGGAGGAATTGTTATCATGCGCTCAGGGCCCAGAATAACTCTGATTGTTCATTCATCATTGATGTTTCAGACATTTGATAAGCACTCATCTTATAGCTTTAAATTTTAAAGTGTAATTTTGACTGATCAATAAAATCATTGATGATTTGACTAATAGAAAATTTCCAACAATAGTTTTATTATGTCCATGATAGTATTAACAAAGGCAAACATATAAAAAAAACTAGCTTATTTCATTTGTGTCATTATTATTCAACCAGAATACTTCCTATTTCTAATCAAAACTATTACAAAATTTGCACTGGTTCAATTTGCCTTTTAAATGAATATAATTTGATCATCCAAGTCTGATGGAAAACTACTAAAATGGCATCAAACAATAAGTAAATCAGTTTCTGGATTGAAACTCATTTAAATCATAATTGAATTATCAAAAATAAGTACTTGATTTTGAGCAACCAGTCATTATTTTATAAAAAAGATATTTTGAAAATAGCAGTTGACTATTCACATCAGAAAATGTGTTTTATAGAATTTCTTGATTGTAATTTTTTAAAATGAAAACCTTACTCAACCCAAGCTTGGCAATAAAAATTTGGAATAATTTCATGATCTAATTACCAATTACTAAATATCTGATTCAATCAATCAATCAATCAATCAATTAGCTTATAAAGCGCTATTTCCGCGATGTTCAACAGCGCTCCTCAATGAATTTTGAAAACAGATGGGTCTTGAGATCCGCTTTGAACTTCGCAAGCGATGGAGAAATAGTTAGAGAAGTAGGTAGAGAGTTCCAGAGAAAAGGACCAGAAAAAGCAAAAGCAGATTTGGCAAAAGAGTGTTTAACACGAGTTAAGAAAAAGCGAGAAGAAGAAGACGATCGTAAACTGGGGCGTTTAGGTTCAATTAATATATCTGATAAGTACTTAGGAAATAATTTAGATTGAGACTTATACATGAACGTGCAAATTTTAAAAATTATTCTATATTTTATAGGTAGCCAGTGCAAGAGAACAAGATATGGAGATATATGAGAAAAGAAAGGGGCACGAGCAACTAGACGAGCAGCAGAG